TAGTTGTGTTTTTAGTTATGCTTGATAGTGTATTATGCCGTGTGTTAGGGCCCCTAAGTTTGCCTCTGGGAGCTCTGGTAGCATAGTGCCTAAGGCCCTTGACTGCTAACCAGAAGGCTAGAGGTTCAAATCCACCAGCCACACCTCGGAAGGAAGGTTAGGCAATCTACTTCTGTAGTGATACCTCGGAAACCCAAGGAGGGGTCGCTGTCAGTTGGGCCTGACTTGACGGCACACAACAACAACAAGAAGTTTTCCTCTATTTTTCCTTTGATGATCTTTATGGTTTGGGGTTTTACATTTAGGTGTTTGATCCATCTTGAGTTAGTTTTTGTATGTGGTGTGAGATAAGGATCTGTCTCATTTTTTGCAAATGGATATCCTATTTTTCCAGCATCATTTGTTAAAGAGTCTGTCTCTTCCACGTTTAATGGGTTTCAGCCCATTGTCAAAGATCAGCTGACTATAGGTAGATGGATTTACTTCTGGGTTCTCATTTCTGTTCCATTGGTCTAATGTGTCTGTCATTATACCAATATCAGGCTGTTTTGACTACTATGGCTGTGTAGTAAGTTTTGAGACCAGGGAGTGTGAGACCTCCTACTTTGTTCTGTTTCAGTAGTGCTTTGTTTATCCACGATCTCTTTCCTTTCCATATAAAATTAGTAGTTGGTTTTTCCATGTCCTTAAAGAATGCTGCTGGAATCTGGATTGGTATTGCATTGCATCTATAGATTGCTTTGGGTAGTATTGACATTTTCACAATGTTTAGTCTTCCTATCCATAAGCATGGTATGTTCTATTTAAGTAGATTTCTTGTAGTTTCTCATAGTAATGTTTTGTAGTTTTTTTTATATAGGTCGATTGTTATATAAAATGTAAAATGTAAAAATATGAAATGTAAGATTTATTCATAAATATTTTTTCTTTTTGATAAATTTACTATTGTAAGTGTTATTGTTTTCCTTATTTCTGTTTCAGAGATCTCTTTGTTGATGTAGAGGAATTCACCTGATTTTTTTATGTTGATCTTGTTTCCTGCAACTTGGCTGAATCTTTCAATTAGTTCCAGTTGTTTTCTTGATGAGTCTTTTGGTTTTTCTATGTATAGGATCATATCATATGAAAATAGAGATAGTTTTACGTCTTCTTTGCCAATTTGAATGCCTTTTATTTCTCTTTCTTGCCTTATTGCCCTGGTTAGGACTTCCAACACAATGTAGAATAGAAGTGATGATAGAAGAAAGCATCCTTGTCTGGTTCCTGTTTACAAGGGAATGCTTTTAGTCTGTCTCCTATGAGAATAATGTTGGCTGTTGGCTTTGTGTATATGCCCTTTATTATGTTGAGGAATTTCCCTGTTTTTCTAATAGTTTTTTTTCCCCCCTAAATCAGGAATGGGCGTTTGATTTTATCAAATGCCTTTTCTGCATCAATTGATGCGATCATGTGGTTCTTTTTCTTTGTTTCACTTATGTGATGCATTTTGTTGATTATTTTTTAATGTTGAGCCATTCTTGCATACCTGGTATGAATCCCACTTGGTCATGGTTTTTTTTTTTTTTTATATAGTGTTGGATTCTGTTGGCTAGGATTTTGTTAAAGATTTTTGCATCTATATTCATCAAAGATACTGGTCTGTAATATTCATTTTTAGTGGTGTCTTTGCCTGGTTTTGCTATCAGGGTTATGTTTGGTTCATAAAAGGAATTTGGGAGGATTCCATCCTTTTCTGTGACCTGGAATAGTTTGAGTAAGATTGGTGCCAGCTATTCTATGAACATTTTGAATTCTCCAGTAAGCTGTCTTGGCCAGGACTTTTTGTTTGTTACTAGGTTTTTTTTTTTTTTTTTT